CCCCCCCCATCCGATTAATCGATTAATCGAAAAAGTAATCGACAGATTAATCGATTATCAAAATAATCGTTAGTTGCAGCCCTAGTTTGGTGCAACATGACTGCAGAGCTAGTGGCCAAATCCCCCCCATTGGCTGAGGCAAACGAACACTATATGTGGGTTTTGGTGCATTTTTACTCATTGTGCATATAAGAGTGAGAGAAACGGCCTGTTATGCTTTGTTTAGTTCAGTGTTCACTGTTCCAGGAGAATCACTTACAGAATGTTTGAAGTCACGTGTCTCTGGGCCTTCATTATGCAGTTCTGGCAGTGCAGAATGACGTCTCAGTGGTACTGCCCAGTGTTCACGTCCAGCTTGCAGTGGCTGCTCACTGAAGCCTTCAGCCCAAGGAGCTGTGGAGCTCTGTTTGTGCTCTAAGGCTTAATTAGCATAACAAGTGGATCTTGCATTGCTTAAGCACATGAAGCCAAATGAGAAAAGGGTCCGTTTGAAAGGTTAGTTTCGGCTGGTGCGCTAAAGTGGGCCCTGCAGCACGACCTCGAATAGCAGCATGATCGTCATGCTGATACGGTGCTGTCTGTTTGCTGATATCCTCCACAACCCAGCACACAGAACATTACACACTAGTATGGCAAAAGGAATCAGATTGCAATTAGTATTAATATTTGGATCAATATACAAAAACTGGTATTTTAAGAAAAAGAAAGCCCTGTATGTTACTAGCTGGGATGCAGACCCAGTAGGGCTGATCGCTGTGTTTTAGACCAAGGAGGGTACTAACTGTCATAGGTCATCTGTGGATCCTGTTCCTGCTTTTTAACAGTGATGTCAGTAGACGGCAGTTACCATGGTGATTAAGGAACTGGACTTACTGCCATAAGGGTGGGGGACTGGCCCCTGTGATAGGAATTACCCTCCCTTTGATGTGGTTAAGTGACCGTGTATCTGACTGAAAGACACTTGCTTCAGTTCCGCTTATCCAGCTTTATAAATGGGTATCGGGATAAGGTTGGGTATATACTGTATAATGAGTGTATTAAACTCAGCAGCTCTGAATAAGAGTGCCACTCGCAAGAGAATGATGTCTGTTACTCGGGAATGTGACAAGCCTGTGTGACCTTCTGATATTTTGTGTTTAAATCACATTTTAAAACAGCAGGAAGGCTTTCTCCCATACCTACATTCATGCCGACTTGCCCTCTGTGCCAGAGTGACACCTGCACACATTTCATCTCCATGACGACTTGCCCTCTGTGCCAGAGTGACACCTGGACACCTGCACACATTTCATCTCCATGGCGACTTGCCCTCTGTGCCAGAGTGACACCTGCACACATTTCATCTCCATGGCGACTTGCCCTCTGTGCCAGAGTGACACCTGGACACCTGCACACATTTCATCTGTTTCTTTGCTTTTATTTATGGACTCATTTCTTGTTACCAGCACTTTATATAGCTATAACACAGCAAACTTGCTATTTTTTGTGTCACATCTGAGAGGACCTTGGTATATGTTGGCTGCATCTCTAGGCAAGCTCATTCTACTGTGTTTGGAGAACTTTTTGAATACATTCAGACTTCTGAATGGGATTCATATATATAAGTACCCAATACCCGACTAATTGATGAAAAACACTGTTTTTTTGTTTCCTTCAGAAGCGGAACCCAGTAAATATTACACAGCTCACAGTTTTGCTTTTTCAGCGTTGAGGTTTCTGAAAGCGATTTAAATAACAGGGGAAGTCTTGTCTGTGATACAGTTAATGGTGGTGTTATATGTGATGTGGGGCTTCTCCAGGGTGTGAGTAAACTTTGAGAGCCCAGAGAATAACCAAGTGTGAAGTCCGTCCAAAAAAACACAACCCAACACAGTGTTTAATCTGTTACCATGGTAACTTGGACCCCCATGACCCCTGAATAGGACAAGCAAGTATAGAAGATGGATGGATGCCCTTAGAGGCTTTATAACCTGTTTGTTTCGTAAATCATTACTTGATTAGCTATGGAAATATTTGTTTGAAAAATAATTTAAAAAATTTTTTTCCCTGAACTGAAGTCAGAAAATGGAGAAGGAGAGTTAACTTTGCTGTGTTTGACTTTCTGTAGTGAAATATGCTTTGTATGCTGTCTTGCTCTGGTGGTGAGTCCTCGTGATCTAAAAGCAGCACTGCAAAGCTTTTTAATTTTGTATATTTTTTTCAGTTGTTGGGTCTCATCAGTCTTTTTCTGTTCATCCCCCCTTTCAGAGACAGACGGTTGGGATTTCATATCTCCTGCTGCATTTTAGGGTGTGTAGCTGTGTGTGGTTATACACTTGCAGAATTTGCCAGATCTCATTAAAACAAACAAACAAACATCTTTAAGAGCTGTGTGGGCACTGGCCGGTCGCTGCCGGTCTGAGCCACAGAGCTAATAAACATGCACACTACGCTCACTTTGCTCATCCTGGGCTGCAGAGACCCGAAATGTTTTCCTTAATTCCTTTGAAAATGAAAGCGGGGGTTACGTTTCGGAGATCGCCAGCTCCCGGGAGACCTCCCTCGTTCTTAACCCCAGCTTTGACAGAGCTCGCTGATAATGGCCCTGCCCTGAACACTTGCTCATAGTGCCTTACAGATTTTGTTGTTTATGGAGTAGATATTTCCTAGTTTGGGTTAAGTCCCCTTCAAGGGTGAAGGAGCAGCTTCACAGCAGGAATCTGCAGCTTTGGACGCCTTAATTCCAGTGTTTCAGCGTCTGTCAGTGAGCTGTGCAGTGCTGTCTCACTGAAAGCCGCCGGCTTTGCTGCAGGCCGATGTCTCCTGTGTTTCAGGCTTATTTTCAGAGAGGAGACGTGGGGTCGGCAAAACCAGGAGGACTGTAATGTGTATCTGCTTATCGCTCCCCGACTTCCTGATCCACACGCCATGCATCCAGCCTTCCCAGCTGACCAGCAGCCTCGGAACTGGGTCCCCTTAAGGCAGTGTCTCTCGGGCCGGTCCTAGGTCTCCCCCCACGGTCCACGCTTTGCTGCCTCCCAACTCACCGGCAGGCTTGTCAAGCGTGTGTCAGACTGGCATTAAGCATGGAAATGATATTTAGTTTTTTTGTTTAATTTCAGATACACATTCAGATACACATTTTGTTATTGACCTCGCACTTGTTTGAGGAAAGCAAGTGTTAAACTCCCAGCAAATTAGTATCCCAGCAAATTTTTTTTTTTCCTTGCTAGTACTTAACTCATTGAACAGGGGTACTTAACTCATTGAACAGGGGTACTTAACTCATTGAACAGGGGTACTTAACTCATTGAACAGGGGTACTTAACTCATTGAAACATTTCTTATATCATACTGGTGTTGATGGCGACATCCACAACTAACCCTGAGCGAATCCCTTGTGCTGTGAAGTTTTCAGGCTACACTTCAATCATAAACTGGGAATTGCGTAAAGTCGCCCTGATTCCAGCGTGATTCCAGCTAGCAGAGTGTTTCTCTGAGCATCATGGAAGATGGTCCCTCCTGGAGGCCATTAAACTCACTGGGACGCCACAGCCGCCCACATCGAGCACTGGGAACCCTAGCCTCCAGCTGCTCTTCCCATCGCTCTTGGTCTGTGTTATGTCTGTTTAATAGTTTACTTCACTTCACATTTTGTACGGAACCCTGTGGAACCTTCTCCCACGTGCCCCCCTCCCACCTTCCTCGCCTTCTTGCATCCCTCACCTTTGCATCCTTTTGCTTTCCTTCCTTTATCTCTCGTCTCGATCTCACACAGGGAGAGCTAAGCTTGGGCGTCAGGATAAATAAAGCTTCGTCTTGCCTTAGCGGGAGGATGTTTTTGGTACTTTGTGCCTGAAGCAGAGTGACCGGCGACCTCAGCACTGCTTAGTCACTGCACTTGTCTGTCTGTCGTGGTTAATTACAGGTATAGTTTTGTGTGAGACAAGGCGTCCAGACGGCATAAAAGCTGAAAAACGTTTTTTAACCTTTCTATTTTTAATTTTAAAGCGATGTTGTGATATCAGATCGGCCCTGGCTGATTACCATGGGGGTTAAGTGTCTCTCTGTGGTTTTACCACCCAATGAGCTGCTTCTGAGAATCTCTTCAGAGATGGGGGTTGTGGCTGAGCATTAACACCGAGTCCATTGGCTTCTACGCCGTGTCACTCTGTCCTCTCTCGTTGGGGAGGTGGGACACCGTTGTTTGCATGGACACCGGCCCCCTTGTGGACGTCCCAGTGGCCAGATCTGTTCTCTGCTTAGAAGTCTTTGATGTACCATGTAGTGATTTACAGGGAGCTTCTGGAGATAAAGTTTTTGCTCAAGGGCTGAGATGAAAATAGCATTTTGGAATTTGTAATACTGCGATTTTAGCAAGATCCTTAACCGCAAGATCGTCTGTGGGTTCTCCCTCGAGCTCTGGGGTGTTTCGGCAGGTGGGGTAACACGTTTCCAGATTTGCACGCTGCAGTCGGACAGAATTTGTGCTTTTGACGTGACCTGTTGCGGCCCGATAATGCTGCCTTTGCTGCTGACGTCTACAACTCCCTGCTTAACGTTTGTCAGTCTTCGATTTCTGTAGCTCTGGAGTCTGAAACGTGAGTTACGGCTGATCACACGTCAGGCTTTCTGCTCAGGCCTGGTCCCCTGCCTTCATTGGAATGATTCGCATTTTGTCACCCATTCTGTCTTTATTGACATTTCAGATACGGCTTTTAAAGGCTGTTATCTAAATATGTAGAGAATTGGCCGCAAGCTCTAGCAGGAAGTATCAGTATGTAAACAGCAGAGATGGGAGGGAGGAGGTTTGGGCCCCACAAAGCTAATTGAGAAGAATTCACTGCAAACTTCAACAAAGAGAGAGGGAGAGAGTGTGTGCGTGTGAGAGAGACACAAATGTGAGAATGCCATCCCTGTTCAGGCTGCATTACTGCCTTTGTCCTCTAACTGGCGCTCTTCTCTCCACAGTATGTTTTCAACGACCTGAGTGGCTCTGTTTCGCTGGCCTGGGTGGGCGACGACACAGGCGTAAGTACTGCCTCTGCCTTTTTAAGACGTTTCCTCTCACTTGTTTCTCCTTCCTGTTTAACTATCTCTGCTCTCATTATATGGTGATTCTCCCTTTTTTGTACCAAAGAGACCGATGGCGTTGAAGGACTGCTGTACTGAAGTCATTTATTTTTGTTATAATGATAAAACCAAGTTGAGCGTTTGAACTGCTTACCTGTATTTAGTCTTCCTTCTGTTTTTCCAGAAAACCACACTGTACCCTTATCGGTTACCGTAATATTTAATAGTGCGATTGCAGTCTTGAAGTCTGTAGACTTTTAAGTGTGCAGATATATTTCAGACCTTCTCTGAATGAGTGTAGTGTGACATGTTCATGAGTATGACCAGGCCTGCCAATGCAGCCCTCCGCGCGTTTGCTGTGTGTCCCTTCACCAGGACTGTATAAATGAAGCCGTCGATACTGCCCAGCTTCGGGGGCAGTCGGGAGACCCGGGGGCTTTTGGTGGAGGTGTGAGTGAGGCTAGGAGATGTCCTCCACCACCCAGCGGACACTGAGCAGATCAGGCTGCTTGCTTGCTTGCTTGTTTTTGTGTATTTTTGCATCTTTCCCACTGCTGACAGTGTGCATTTCTCACCCTCTGTACACTGGTCAGAATACTGAGCAGGGGAGGCAGGTTTCTGAAATGTTCCTGTCCTCCTAAACCTAAAGATATCTTATGTGTGGTGGAGCTGATAGCTTTCCTGAGCTTTGAGGAACATGCCCCCCCCCTTCTCTGGGGTGTGTCTTTATCTCCCGGCAGAGGTATGCCGTCCCCCCTTAGAGCTTTCTGATGTGTTCAGCAGGATGTGTTCAGCAGGATTCAGAGAGGCAAATTGGTTAAGTCGCAGTGCCAAGGGAGAGCAGGAGATGCTGCCTTTCGTGTAGCTGGGGGGGGGGGGGGGGGGCGGGGGGTGGTGGTGGGGGGGGGGGGGGGGGGGGGGGGGGGGGGCATTTGGGAAGGACCTCACAGTCTCAACATAGCCGGAGTGTCACCACTGATGTAGAAGCTGAAATGATGGTGTCTCACTGGTATTCCTGCTTTGGGAGACGCATGTACAGTCACAGTCACAGAGAGACAGTCACACGCACACACAGACACATGCGTACACACACAGACAGTCACAGACAGACACACAGACAGTCACAGACAGACACGCTCACAGACAGACAGACACGCTCACAGACAGACAGACACGCTCACAGACAGACAGACACGCTCACAGACAGACAGACAGTCACACGCACATGCGGAGACGCACACATACAGTCACAGACAGGCAATCATAGGCAGACAGTCAGATATTAGTGTTCTTTCCTTTCCTTGTGACAACAGATTGTCTGTTCAATGGTCTGAGTGTTTAGTGTGTGTGTGTGGTCTAGGTATATCAGTTAAAACCTGTTAATTTGATGTGGGGACAATTTTTCCGGTCCCCACAAGGGGAAATTCAATTTTTATAAAAATTTGTGACTGCAGTCAAAAAACTATAAATGCCAAAAGGCTTGTATTTTGTTTGGTTACTTAAGGTTAGGGATGGGTAGGTGGGTTAGGTGGTCGTCCTTGCTGGGATTAGGATTTTGTCCATAGAAATGAATGGACGGTCCCCACAAAGATATAAATACAAAATTTGGTCGGTCTGTCCGTCTCTCTGTCTCTGTATGTGTGATTGCTGTGTCTGCATCTAAACTGGTCTGTTAAGAGTATGTAGCCAGAGGGGTTTGGCCCTAGGCAGCTTCTCCCTGATGTCAGTAGAACAACATGCATTTAATGTCTCAATGGATACTGCAGTCTTCTGGCATTTATTTTCCTTCTTTCCTTTATTCCCTGTATATAGTAATAAATTGAAATGGAAATAATCAGTGAATAAAACTTTGCAAGCTGCCATTAATGCAGACACCTCGCTCCTTAGATCATGATTTTTTTTTTTATTGTAAACAATACAATTCTGCGTGTGACGGCCGCCCAATCCCATCAAGCGTATGTCAGTCAGGCATTAATTATGAATTTGTTTGTACTCCTCCTCGTGGTCACCATGGAGACCAGAGCCTCTACGTGTCTGTGAGCGCGTGAGGCTGTGGTCACCATGGAGACCAGAGCCTCTACGTGTCTGTGAGCGCGTGAGGCTGTGGTCACCATGGAGACCAGAGCCTCTACGTGTCTGTGAGCGCGTGAGGCTGTGGTCACCATGGAGACCAGAGCCTCTACGTGTCTGTGAGCGCGTGAGGCTGTGGTCACCATGGAGACCAGAGCCTCTACGTGTCTGTGAGCACGTAAGGCTTTCTGATCGTCCTGCTTCGTTTGGTTGCTCTTTATGCAGACCCTCACTAACCCCCCCGTGCCCCCCGCTCCCGTATAGGTGGTGTTGGCCCTGACAACCTTTCAGGTTCCTTTCTTCATGGTCAAGTTCGGCCAGTCCAAGCTGTACAGAAGGTAACCACTGTTTGTTTGAGTACTTCCTGGCCATTTCTCAAAAGTGAAACAAACAAAACATGAAAAGGATTCCCCTAAGAGATTCAAATTAATCACGCCTGTAAGGAATAGATTGAAGCATAAACCTGTGATATTCCTGCGTGTGTGTATAGCTAAACCGTTAATTTCTGTAATAATTTTTCCTGTTTCCTCTTTTAAGTACTAATTATGGGAAGACCTTCCAGGATGTCACAAATCTCATCAACAATACCTTCATCCTGACCGAGTTCGGCATCGCCATCGGCCCTCAGAATTCCGGAAAGGTAGGGGAATCGCCTTGGCATCCATCTCTTATGGCGGCGTTCTTCATCCAGAGTGCGGTCAGAAGTATTTCTGTCTCTTTTTTTTTTTTAATGAATGGCATATTTGTCTGACATTTCCATGGGGCAGCATTGTGGCTTGGTGCACAGCACTGCTCGCTCACCTGTGCAGGGCTGGGGGTTCGAATCCCTCTTCATGGGGTTTGGAAGTTTTCCTCGTCTCATGTTGATTTCCTCTTGCTCCTCCAGGTTCCTCGTGCAGTTCAAAGCCACGCATTTAGGCTAATAGGGTTAAGGTTAGGGTTATTGGCCTCAGTGTCTGACTGCATATACATGTGCCCTGCAGTGGGCTGGCATCCCATCCAGGGTGACCCTCCACCCTCTCCTTTCAGGCCACCCGCTATATATTCTGGTCGTCTTGCCCCCATCGGGATGGCATTTCCCATCTGACGGAATACGGGCCTCGCGTAGTTGGCGGGGTTTGCCGAGTGGGTCCCCGTGAAGTGCGGCCCCCCTGAATCAGCCTGGGTATCGGTGCCCCTACGATGCCCCTGCGGGCGCTGGGTGGGTGTGTGCGGGTGCGCGGTCAGCTGGCGTGATCTCCCTGTCCGCAGGTGATCCTGACAGCCGACGTGTCGGGGTACCAGCGAGCTCGGCTCTTCCGCTCCGTGGACTTCGGGAACAGCTTCTCCCACGCAGACCTGCCCTTCCAGCCGCTGTCTCAGGTCTCCTACAGCCCCCACAACACCGACGTGCTGCTCGTCATCAGCCTGACGGTGAGGAAGGCCGGCCGTCTGCTTTTCCCATTTTGCAATCTGTTACTGTCACATGGGCCCTTACTGCCCCCCCCCCCCCCATCGCCCTCCTTATCCTAACACTTCCTTTGCAGTGGCTCCAGGCTTTGCTATGATTAAGGCCCTGGCCTCTCTCTCTGCTCCAGAATGACCTCTGGCTGTCGGAGGATTTTGGCGGGAAGTGGAGGAGAATCCACAAGTCGGTGTGTCAGACCAGGTGGTAAGTGGGCCACCGGGGGGGGGGGGGGGGGGGGGGGGGGGGGGAAACGGGGCGATGCCTTCGCCGCACCCCCTGCGCCTGCTCGTCAGTCTTCTGTGAGCTTAGGGCCCTGTTTGCTTTTGCCAGGTTGTCTGTGGAGTTTGATCTGCGTAATGAATGGTTGCTTTGTCCGTAATTGTTCTGGAAAACGCTGCGTGTGAGTAGAGAAGGCGGCTGCCCTGTGTGGGGGGTGGAGGTGTGGGGAGCGGCTGGTGTTCCTGAGCAGCCCGGCGCATGCTGCCGGCTCCCCGATCCAGGCCTGCTGCCGTGTTTGTGCTGAAAGCCCTTTGGGAGGAGGTTCACTGCGTCGGCAGCCTGGACTCTGCCTCCTCAGGAGCGCTGGGGCTTCAGACAGGACGGAGCGCTGGGGCTTCAGACAGGACGGAGCGCTGGGNGGAGCGCTGGGGCTTCAGACAGGACGGAGCGCTGGGGCTTCAGACAGGACGGAGCGCTGGGCGCGTGGGACATCGTGCTCTGAGCAGACAGCCTGTATGAGCTCTGCCTTTATGGCATCAGAGCAGAGAGCTGAGAGTGTCTGCTTTCTGGGTGATAACCTGGAATACCTTCTTTCTGTAAAAGCTTGGGCCTTGGGATGGGGGAGGGGGTGCCTCTGTATGGGGGGGGGGGGCTGACACGGGGTCCTGCTCCCTGGCCTGAAATCTCCCTGCTCCCTTGGGGCAGCGTGTGGCTCAGGGCTAAGCCTGTGTGCCTGTAATCAGAAGGTTATGGGTTCAAACCCAGCCTCAGCATGTCTACGGGTCCTTGAGCAAGGCCCTTAACCCCCAGCTCCCTGGGTGGCTGCCCTTCGCAGACAGCTTACTCTACAAAGAGCAAGGTGAGGGAGGCGTAAAGACAATTTCCCCATGGGGATCAATAAAGTATTGATTATTAGTATTATCGATTATTAGTATTATCGATTATTAGTATTAGTGATTATTAGTATTGTTGATTATTAAAACAGCTCCCACAGCCTCGCAGTTCCGGGGGCTGCCATGGGTCTGCCTTTCCTTTTCATGCTTGTTATCAGCTGTTCATCTCAGCCCCTTTTCCAAAGGTGCTGCTTGTGCCTCTGGCCTCCATGGGGTCAGTTCAGACCCCCTGCGCTTGATGGATCTCTGTGCCTGTATATGATTAAGGCCCTTAAGTTTGACTTTATCCACCAAAATGACACTTTCCGGATTTACTGGAGGTCAGGTCAGCATTTAGATGAATCCGATAATGGAGTTGGCTGGTGTGTCTGCATCTCCTACCTCGGTGTCCCAGGTGGCTGGAGTCTGCCGGACGATGCAGGTTTTTAGGTGACTGAAGGAGCATGTTCTGCTCTGACTTCTGCTTCCCTGAAAGTTCGTTGTATCCTGTGTCTGCAGCACTTTGCTAATTACACGCAATATGGTGTGGTTACGTTTATGATTTAGCAGATGCTTTGGACCAAATTGACGTACGAGCGAGACCAATAATGCATTGAGAGACAATTAGGCATTAGTACAGCCAGGCTGCGTTTCCAGCGAATGACCAGTAGCAAGTGCGAGTTTGTGCTGGGGTAGGAGAGCTCCTCCAGTCACCATCAGGACTGCATCCTCACTGGAGAAGTTCATTCAGCACAGACCAAGCTGAAGGTAGCCGATAGCTCAGCTACTCCCCAATGTAATTAGTGATGTACGATTCCAAAAATTCAGTGCCCAACTAAATGGATGGAATCAAAACTGATAATAATGGTTGTCCAAACAGCTGCAGTTGAAGAGACATTCTTCACAAATTGCTGGCTGTTTGGTTGACTGGTGATCTGTTGGCCTGCTTGATTCCAGGGGCACAGAAGGCACCATCTTCTTCACCACCAGCTTGAATACATCCTGCAGTGAGTGAGCCCTGGATCCTCGGCCGTAATCGCAGTCGCGTGTCAGCCGAGCCCCGTGACCCGTCTGCGTCTGCCCAGCAGGTGAGCGGGGCAGGTTGGAGCTGAGGAAGACGACGGACTTCGGGGAGACCTTCAAGACCATCGGAACCAAGATCTTCTCCTTTGGGCTGGGGGGACGCTTTATATTTGCCTCAGTCATGACTGGCAGGGTGGGTGTATCTCTGAGTAGTAACTGACTCCATCTTAAGGACCAGGTCTTTAAAACCGAAAGCCCTTTAAAATGTTAATCTACTTTTGGCACTACTTAGTTAAAAGCTTTTAAGCAAACTGATAAGAACTTCTGAAAGGTTTTGTGGGTGTAGGGTTGGTGGCAGGCCACACACAGGACCCTGGGAGGGTTGGAAGAGGGGAGGGGGGATGAAGAACAGAACCAAGGAATGCAGAAAACGAATGACTGAGGGCGAATGAAAAGGTGACGTTCAGGCAGGAGTGGAAGGACTGAACAGACGCAGCTGCTGTCACCGCGGGCAGCCACTGACACACGCGTGTATCTCCAGCTATAGTTTGTTTATATATAAAACCAGTTATATCAGATGGGGGGCATGGACTTTTCAATTGGGATGGGCACCCCCTTCAGGAAAAATGGGTTACAGTAGAGTTTAGTTGGAATGTGCGTTTGTATGTGCGTGTGCCTGTCTGTGCCTCTGCATGCGTGCGTGTGTGCGTGTGCACGCCCTTTGTAAGTCCCGCATCCTCGTGTCCTCCCCAGGGTTCCTTGCGTGCGATCCATGTCTCCGTGGATCAGGGTGAGGTGTGGAACATGGCCCAGCTTCCTCCGGTGGGTCATGAGCAGTTCTACTCCATCCTGGCTTCCAACGACGACATGGTCTTCATGCACGTGGATGAACCTGGCGGTCCGTCTGCCCGTCTGTCCGGCCCAGTCCTTAGCCAGTCCTCCCAGCGGCCTTCCGTCCTGTTCCTGGAGGATCACTAGTTCTTACTGGATGCCATATCTACATACAGGCTCCGTCATCTGTGATCCACTATCCACTGTGCTGGTTTGTCTTTGTGCATCTGGATCCCACCATGAGCACAGGA